ACACACACTCTCACACACAAACACACTCTCTCACACACACACACACACCTGCTGCTCTCTTACATGTCATGTGTGGCCATCCCCGTCTGAGAGTAGCGCGTGTCTTTGGCGTATTTGATGACCAGACAGGAATACTGAGCCACCTGGAACCTCCGCACGCGCCGCATCAGTTCAGTGCTGAACACACACACACACACACACACATTCATAATGCAAATAACACATTATAACTCAGCAGATTAATAACTCACCACATCTCTTGATTTTATGAAGATGTGCTCATATGCATCAGAAAATGCGACTTTAGTGGAGTCTCAAAGACCCCTGATATCAGACTGGACATATTTTTTGTTAATTTTGATAGTTTTGCTGTAACCTCAAATAACATCACGTTCCTGATAGCAAGGACTTCACCCAGCTAACACAAACACCTTCCAAGATCGTTTGGCTAATGTTACCATTAGGTTTTGACAATGACATTTCTGAATGCTCTCTGAACAAACAGATGTTTAAAAAAAATGTTTTTTTCTTGGTTAGGTGAAACATTAAAGTAGCATTCCATCCGATAATTTCAGGAAGGATGTGCGATGTGCAAATAATGCAAACATTGTGAGAACGTTTTAAAGCTTAGATAAGTTTGAGAGAACGTTCTCAGAACTTTATTATAAACGGCGTTGTCAGTCTATTGTCAAGGTAACTGTTAAATGTAGAAAGCTATTATTATATTTACATAAACAGCTCTGGTGGTTTCTGGGAACACGAGGGTCACTGAACACATTTTTGGCGCTAAATTCGCGTCGTCTTTGTAACAATGTAACCGTTCTCGCGCCAAACAGCTGCACTGGCGCCACCCGCAGAACCAAAACACTTATTATAGCGTTTCACCTTCATATTTCATAACATAACATGCGTGTACTGATGATTTATTCATCCTCACCTTTTTCCCGAGAACATCGGTCCGAAAATAACCTGAGAAGATGACAAATATAGTGATGGCATTGTTATTATTTACATTTACGAAAGCAAATCCACAACAACAAAAAACATAAAAAAAGTATATATTATCTAAATATTATCTGCATGACATAAATCATCACTGGCTTAATTAACCAAATGGCATTAAATATGATATATTATAAATATAATATTAGAGTTACCTGAATCTGTCCTCGTATCTTCCGTGGGGAATTGGGTAAAATCTTAGCTACGTTTAAGCAGTCCATGTCTATTATTTCTTATGTTTTCTAAAATACAGTCAGACTTACAGTAAGCTTTGAACATCGCGCCGCCGCCAGTGTGTCCTTTTATAGCAGCGGTGGTGTCACTTTCCTCAGGACCAATCGGAATCGAGGCCGTGCGCAGCCGCATTTCGCTCACAGATCTATAAAAGAGCTGCCGTTTCCATCGACTTCCGTCTATCCAGTGCGTTTATAAATCACTGACGTCACAGTTGCGGAAGTTCCCGAGGCAAATCAGGCAGGCGGGAATGTAAAGAGTGCATTAAATTGGTACAAAAACTTTTTTTTTTTGGTCTACATTTTCTTAGCTTTTAATACCGACCGATCCAGCACAATTCAGTGAGAAATTAACTAAATAGACGGTTAACGGAATGAAGCGTCGCGCGTCACGTGACTTCCACAGTGATTTAAAACACTTAATAATTGACTTTGTGTCAACAACACTCGAGCTTCTCTCACTTGTGCTGTTTCAAAGGTCTCTAGTGCAGCAGAGAATATCATCATGAGTGGCTGAGATGTGAGTGTTTGACTGACAAATTAATGATTATTTATCACATACACAACACTAGAGTGATTGTTTAATCAGAATCAGGAGCTTTAATCGCCCAAACACACAAGGATTTTGTAAAAGAGTAGAGTATGTCTTTATTGTCCACCAAGGTGGATTTTTTTCTTTGGCTCGCAAATACATAAAACAGACTTTTTCAAAAAAAGAGAGAACAGAAACCTCCTGAGACCCAGAATTTTTTTTAGTATTTTTTTCATGTCATTACATTGTTTAGAGCATAAGAGAAAAAATTGAAAAATTAGATTTTATTCATATGTTATGCTATGTCCTCTGCAGAAGACGCCAGGACTCAATTTTTTAGAAAAAAATAAAAAGACATGAATAAACATGAATAGGCAAAAACAATTGATTTTTTAAATCACCATTACATTTTTAGGTTTCATGATTTTGTATAAAGATTATTCTGGAAAACTGGAAATGGTTGCATAATGTCATGCAGAATTTAACACTGTTTTATACAGCACAAACTTTGTCCAAATTAATAAATCATCCTAGTATTGCCTGCATACGGTGAATATTGTGCACCGTTTGCATGTTGCATACTGCAGAAATAGTGACAATAGTGTGCTAATTTGTTTATTTTACAGTATAACTGTAACAATACTAATTACAACTAATTAAATAATTTACATTTTTTATTTTTAATAATGCATTTAATATTTAAACATGCAACAATATATTATTATTATTAATAATACATATAAATATTAATAATAATTTTTATATTTAATAATAAATTTACTATTGTAATATTTCACTAATTTTATGATATTAATATAAATATTATACTAATATTTAATAATATAATTTAATATTCATTACAATAGTAATGCTGTAATATTTTACTGTAAAAATCAACTATATAAGAAAAATAATACAATAATATTTTTGTTTATTTTACAGTACAACTGTAACAATACTAATTAAATAATAATTACTATTGTTACAACAATACACATTGATGCTTGTCTTAATTTCTTAATATTCAAATTTTAATTTTAACTTTAAGCCTTCATTTTAGTTTTAAACCATCAGTCTTTATTTTGGCTGAAAACCACAGGAGGCCCTTAAAGCTTCTCTTTTGTTGACAGCCATTTATAAACGGTTTTTAATGACAAGTTTGGGAAGATGAGCTGATTATGAGGCATTGGCGTGTAACTGAACACAGTGCTGTGCATATATTTATTTAATTAAACTGCAGCTTTAGTGATTTGCTGTTTGCACTAAGCCATATCGTGACTTCAGGGTTATTTTGATGAACCGTGCAGCACAATATGTGTTACTAATCAGCGTTTCTTACCTTCTAAAGCTCCTACTAAAGATGATGGGAACGTCGCTGATGTTGACGATCGTCAGATTACCCAGAATGCACTGCGCTGGAACAGACCTGTGAGTTGAGCTCGAGACCTCACTCTTTGTCCAATCAGATGCTAGTATTAAATGTTTTACATCATTATTAAGACAGCAGCAGTGTATGTTGGTACATTCAAGTTTCTGCTGGGAAAACGTCTTAAACGAAGCATTTGAAGATGTGCCATGAATCAGTTGTTGATCATATAAAGTCACAAATGAATATAGCAAATGTTTAAAAATGTAAATGATTTGATTTGATGAATGGCACTGAGAATAATCCGTGTATTATTCGATCATTCGTTTTTTTATTTAAAAAGGTCTCTAGTGCAGCAGAGAATATCATCATGAGTGGCTGAGATGTGAGTGTTTGACTGACAAATTAATGATTATTTATCACATACACAACACTAGAGTGATTGTTTAATCAGAATCAGGAGCTTTAATCGCCCAAACACACAAGGATTTTGTAAAAGAGTAGAGTATGTCTTTATTGTCCACCAAGGTGGATTTTTTTCTTTGGCTCGCAAATACATAAAACAGACTTTTTCAAAAAAAGAGAGAACAGAAACCTCCTGAGACCCAGAATTTTTTTTAGTATTTTTTTCATGTCATTACATTGTTTAGAGCATAAGAGAAAAAATTGAAAAATTAGATTTTATTCATATGTTATGCTATGTCCTCTGCAGAAGACGCCAGGACTCAATTTTTTAGAAAAAAATAAAAAGACATGAATAAACATGAATAGGCAAAAACAATTGATTTTTTAAATCACCATTACATTTTTAGGTTTCATGATTTTGTATAAAGATTATTCTGGAAAACTGGAAATGGTTGCATAATGTCATGCAGAATTTAACACTGTTTTATACAGCACAAACTTTGTCCAAATTAATAAATCATCCTAGTATTGCCTGCATACGGTGAATATTGTGCACCGTTTGCATGTTGCATACTGCAGAAATAGTGACAATAGTGTGCTAATTTGTTTATTTTACAGTATAACTGTAACAATACTAATTACAACTAATTAAATAATTTACATTTTTTATTTTTAATAATGCATTTAATATTTAAACATGCAACAATATATTATTATTATTAATAATACATATAAATATTAATAATAATTTTTATATTTAATAATAAATTTACTATTGTAATATTTCACTAATTTTATGATATTAATATAAATATTATACTAATATTTAATAATATAATTTAATATTCATTACAATAGTAATGCTGTAATATTTTACTGTAAAAATCAACTATATAAGAAAAATAATACAATAATATTTTTGTTTATTTTACAGTACAACTGTAACAATACTAATTAAATAATAATTACTATTGTTACAACAATACACATTGATGCTTGTCTTAATTTCTTAATATTCAAATTTTAATTTTAACTTTAAGCCTTCATTTTAGTTTTAAACCATCAGTCTTTATTTTGGCTGAAAACCACAGGAGGCCCTTAAAGCTTCTCTTTTGTTGACAGCCATTTATAAACGGTTTTTAATGACAAGTTTGGGAAGATGAGCTGATTATGAGGCATTGGCGTGTAACTGAACACAGTGCTGTGCATATATTTATTTAATTAAACTGCAGCTTTAGTGATTTGCTGTTTGCACTAAGCCATATCGTGACTTCAGGGTTATTTTGATGAACCGTGCAGCACAATATGTGTTACTAATCAGCGTTTCTTACCTTCTAAAGCTCCTACTAAAGATGATGGGAACGTCGCTGATGTTGACGATCGTCAGATTACCCAGAATGCACTGCGCTGGAACAGACCTGTGAGTTGAGCTCGAGACCTCACTCTTTGTCCAATCAGATGCTAGTATTAAATGTTTTACATCATTATTAAGACAGCAGCAGTGTATGTTGGTACATTCAAGTTTCTGCTGGGAAAACGTCTTAAACGAAGCATTTGAAGATGTGCCATGAATCAGTTGTTGATCATATAAAGTCACAAATGAATATAGCAAATGTTTAAAAATGTAAATGATTTGATTTGATGAATGGCACTGAGAATAATCCGTGTATTATTCGATCATTCGTTTTTTTATTTAATATTGAAAGTAGAAAAATGAGAAAACTGATCCTTTTTCGATTTTTTTTTTTTTCCAAAAAACGAAAAACGAAAATTCAGCTTAAATGTTCGTTTTTCGTTCATGGGTGGAAAAATTAATAAACAGCTTGAATATTCGATTTTTACACGTGGGCGGGAATTAAACGCCCCTTTCTGCTGATTGGTCAGCCGAAGATCAAACCGTGCCTTCTTCAGTTCTTCCGAAGTATCACGCAGCAGAATAATAGTCCTCTGCTGCTGCAGTTGTATGGATTCTTAACGCATTTATTGCAACTACATTTAATCTTTTTTCATCAAACAAACAGGCTAATGAATAGCTCGACACAACTCATACTGGGGCAGAGTCTAGACAGGGCTTTCTTCTGTGTAGATATAAATTCTATTCTTTGCATCAGCTGGGCATGGCAGGGTATGATATGACAGCTGCTCACCCAGTAAGTCTGTTTGTTTGTTTAATTAAGAAATGTATTAATTAATTTGTTTAATTAAGAAATGTATTAATTAATTTGTTTCAAAATAAATATTTTAAACACTAAGACAAAAAGGAAAGAATAATAAATTGGCTTGGGTATATATAGGCCTATGTTCACGCAAGAACTGTCATTCTGACTGACAACCAGAGAACAACCGATATTAAGCCTACTGTTAGAGTTATATAATGTAGTTTTGTGTTTTATTAAAATTGATTATAATTGATATCTCAAAAGGATATGCACTTGTGTGCGGCGTGAGCTGCAATGCAAGATTTTCATAAAATATAATAACTTTGTTTCTCACCAAACCCTCAGTATACCTTCAGAATGCTTGGAATATACGCCACGAGATGCATAGGATTATTTTACGACAGATATGCATCCGCTTCAAAACAA